CGGGGTCAAGCCGGGCCGGCCGAGGCTGCCCTGCCCTGCCCTTTTACAGCGCGCCGGCGCGCAGCCCGCACCAATCTCTTTGGACATGCCTGGGAAGTGAAAAAGAAATGCCGACCGGTTTGGGCCGACAAGTGTTCGACGGGGCCGAGGTGGCAGGCCGGCGCGGCCCGGCGTGGGCGGTGGTGGCTGCAATGGGTGGTCCCGCGCCGAGGCCCAGGCTGCCGCTAGCGTGCCGAGGCCTATCGCGGCCGGCCGAGGCCGGGCCGTGGCGTATTGATCCACTGGCCGAGGCCGTGCGGGGCGTGCACAGGGCGTGCTGCGTGGGGATCGCGGGGCCGTGGGGGCCTCCGACGTGATGGACAAGCGCATTGGTAGTGCCTCGGCGTGGATGCGGGGCGGGGCACGCCGCGCCTCGCAACGCAGGGGCGGTAGCCTTGCAATCAAACGCCAATGGTGCTTCACAGGTGCCGCCAGGGCAAGCCGCAGGCCGAGGCATGCGGAATCGCAAAGCAGCCTTTGCATTACCGCAAGGGACGGCCTGCATCGTCGAAGTGGGGATGGACTTGCAATTCTGCAAGGCGTTCCATGCGACTGCGCAGGGCAAACCTTGCGTTTTGTACCGTTCTGCCTTGCAGAATCGCAAGGCGGGAGACAGTGCAATTAATGCCTTGCGTTTCTGCAAGTTATTACTTGCAATTATAGGAAACGCATACACCACGCAAGGTGTTCCTTGCAAAAATGTCATTTGCAAATCAAAATGCAAGGCTTGCCTTGCATTTTGCCTTGCACTTGGCCGAATCGCAAAAGTCGGGACCACAGTGTGCCCTTTTACAGCGCGCCGGCGCGCAGCCCGCACCAATCTCTTTGGACATGCCTGGGAAGTGAAAAAGAAATGCCGACCGGTTTGGGCCGACAAGTGTTCGACGGGGCCGAGGTGGCCGGCCCGGCGCAGCCCGGCGTGGCGGTGGTGGCTGCAATGGGTGGTCCCGCGCCGAGGCCCAGGCTGCCGTAGGCTGCCGAGGCCTATCGCGGCCGGCCGAGGCCGGGCCGTGGCGTATTGATCCACTGGCCGAGGCCGTGCGGGGCGTGCACAGGGCGTGCTGCGTGCGGGCCGCGGGGCCGTGGGGGCCTCCGACGTGATGGACAAGCGCATTGGTAGTGCCTCGGCGTGGAGTGGGGGCGGGGCACGCCGCGCCTCGCAACGCAGCGCCACGCCGTGCCACGCCGTGCCACGCCACTCGGGGCTCATCAGGGGACCGCCACGTGACCGACATCCACTGATTGGTCACATTGTGCTCCATGCCAGAGCTGCCTTTTATCAGGGACGATTGTGGCGATATCGTATGCGGGACTCTCGAAACTTCACAGACACTGCAAAGATAGCGAACTCAATAACTTTTTCACTGTTTCCGCCAGGGTGCTTACGGGCCGGCCCCTTGGGGTATTACTGCCTGCGGGCTGCGGGACGGTCCCTCGGATGCAGTCATCCGCAGGGATCCAATCCTGCCTAGATGCGACATGAATGTTTTATATCGTCCCGCTGCCCCCTTGTGACCCTCCCTCCTTGCACATCCAATATAGGGGTGCCCGCAGAGCGAGAGAGAAAGAGAGAGAAGCGATCGATGGTCTGCCTCGCTCTACCCGGCTCTGCCTGGCTCACTGCGCGCTCGCCCGCCGCCCCGCCGCTCGCTCCGTCTCTGTCGCACGCTCCCTCCGTCTCCCTCCCTCCCGCTCGCTCTCTCTCGCTCCCTCGCTCGCTCGCCCGGGCCTGGCTGTCAGACGCAGCGCGCGCAGTTCTCCATTATCTCGTCCCCTTTCCTCCTCTTTTATACGTTATCCGTACATATTTTTCGTGGCGGCGTTCGTTCTTTCGTTCCCCCTGCCTCGTTCCTTCTCGCTCGCTCTCGCCCGCTCTGCCTCTCTGCCTCCACACACCGCCACGCTTGGCCGCCCAGGCGTTGCCGTGGCGTTGCCGTGGCGTTGCCCAGACAAGGCCGAGGACCGTGGACCCCCACCCCCTTCCCCCCTCCGTCTTCATTCTTCGCGCGCAATTATCCTCCACCCTGCAAGCTCATTTTTAGGAAACTTTCATCGAATTCGCAAATTAAGTTTTGAAACTAGTAGTTACATTCCTCCAACGTTCCGGAGGCTTACCAAAATTTTAAAATTTTCAATCGTCAACCATTGGCTTGCTGAACAGAAAACGGAATCAAAACCAGAAAAGGCTTTAGAGCAAAATAAAATTTAATGTTATAAATTCCCTAAATAAGTGCGTACACGTCCAGCAAGACACTGGGGGCTCCGAGTAAATCCGCACGAGTCACCGTCGGATTTCTTTTTTTTTTTCCACGCGGCCGAGGGACGGGACGGTATCGACTTTCGTGTCAGCGTTTGTATGGGATTGGGAGCAGCGGCGCGAAGCGGACCCGAGACGGCGCGCTGCGCTGCGTCGGCATTTCAAAGTCGACCTGCAGCGCTGCAGTGCGCTGCAGCATCGGTGGGAACGGGAACGGCCAGCAGGCCGCCGCGCCAGCCCGCCGTGCCAGGCCGCCGCCGCCGCCGCCCGGGCCAGAGCGCTGCCGCTGCCGCGCCACCGCCGCCGCAGCAACAGAAACATCTACTTATTCAGTCCCTAGGGACGGAGGGCCTCGTCGCCGAGCCTCGCAGCGCTCGCAGCGCGCCGAGTGTGGCGTGTGGGGGGAGAGGTTGCGACACGGCGCAGCGCGGCGGCGCGGCGAGCCGGGACGCGATACGGCGCCGCGTAGCGCGCACGCCGCGACGCGGCACGGCGGCAGCGCGGCTCGTCACGGCCAGGTCTGGATGGAGCGCGGTGCGGCGCGGTGGGCGCAGCGCGGCGGCGGGAGAGAGATTGTGCTTTCCTAGGGTTGCCGCCCCGCAGCGCCGCCCCGCACCTCCCCTTCAGTCGTCAGCGGCCCGCCCCTGAGGCCCGGCGGCAACCCTAGCCTGGGGCGTGCATGGCTGCAATCCGCAATCTGCCGAGCAATCATGCCTGTCATAACTCAGTAATCCGCTGCCAGCGCCACGGCTTTAGAATCAGGCAAGATTTTCGGTTTGCCTGACGTAAACCAAAGCCCTTTTCACCCGTCATATCGTCATCATCAGCGCTGCTAGGCCTGCACTGAAAATAATCCCGAAGGAAACAAGAAAACTGTGGGAACCAAAGCACGAGTCCCAATCATGCAAGACGCTCTATTTTCCCAGCGACACTGTAAATTCTTGATGAATGGCGGTTGGTCCTTCCAGAATATGGCGGAACGCTGTTTGCGAAGGTCTATGCAGACTGAGACCGATCGCCAAACTACTTTCCCGCCAAGATCGCCACCAGCATGGCGCAGCATCGGCACCGCCCCACAGAAGACCAGTGGAGGTGGTCAAATACCAGACCCGTTGGGCTCCAGAGTCGCCAAATGGAACTCGAACCGAACGCGTGACCCCGCCAATGGATTGCTCTCCGAACGAGGAATCCGTTGGTGGGGTCACACGGTCGGTTCGAGTCCTTTAGCGACTCTGAAGCTCAAAACGCGTCTTGAATTTTGGTCGCCGCCGCCGGCCGGGAAGCCGCACTACACATTATGTAGAATGTAGAATCGAAACCATTCACGTTGACCGGCAACACAAAGTTGTTCAAAATGTCAGAAAATCTCGAAAAGCGGCGACATTTGCGCCATCTTTACTACTAACCGATCGGTAGTTGAAAAAAATGGATGCGTGGAGACCTTTTTCTCACTGCAAATGCATTGATAAGTTTCCTTGTCACTCCAGTGCTGCTGCGTTTTAAATGCCAAAAGTTGGCATTCTGGACCCGGAGCGCCGGCAGAATGACATGGTTTGTCACTCCGACGGAGTGGAGTGGCAAGGAAGTTTTACCAGGATTTGCGGTGCCGAAGCAATGTTTCGTGTAGGGAAATGCGTTGAATACGAGTGTAGGAAGTGCAATATTACTCAGCTGCTTGCTCAATGTTTCTTCCTGTGGTCATCTCTATCCGCCTCTGTCTTTTTCTTTTTTCCGGCCAATCAAACTGCAGAGTGGTCAGCCCACTGCTTGACGCGGAGGGTGTGGGTTCAAATCCCACGTGCGGCATTGGCAAATCTGTTTCTTTCCCTACTTGCCTGTAAAATCAAGAAAAATCTTTTTAGCAGTCCGTGTTGCGCTGGCTACACGGACGCACGCCGATGTCCACTTGAGCAGCCTCTGTCTTTCCGTCCCCGAGTGCGCAGGCTCGCAGCCACCTGCGCGTCCCGGAGAGACCTCGGGAGAGACTCGGGAGAGACAACGCAGCCGCGCAGCACGCCGCCGCAAGGAATTCTGGGAACTGCGACAAACCTGTACCTTCTCCGGCGCGGACGCGGCCTTGCTTCAAGCCTTTTTTTGCGCTCTGCCTTCCAGATTCAGTGAATTTCTGTGTCTGCCCCGCGCTATAACAGTGGCGGCAAAGCGTCTGTCCGACCCGCCGAACGAATGGGTCCGATCGATACGGAGGGCCGACTCGATTGCGAACAGTGTACCCAAGATGGAGCCATGGAGGGGGCGTGCAGGGAGAGCCGCCGGGGGAGGGGAGTGGGGGAGGGGAGCGGGGGCAGCGGGTGTCCTCGTGGAACCCTCTCTCGGGTGGGCGGCCGGGTGGCGGGGCGGGGTGGCGCGGGAGGGGCCCCGCGCTGCGCGTTGCGCCCACACGAAGAGCCGTGCGAGAGAGACGGCAAAGCCATCAAGGGGCGAGGGGCATAAATGGATAGAGCGCGCTGCGCACAGACGCCTCGACCGACGAGCCTCGCGCAGCGCAGCGCAGCGACGCCACTCAATGTTTGGCGGCTGTGTTTTTGGCAGTGTCCCCAGTGTCCCCGGCATTGTCTCATAGCTTTGGTTTCTTTGCTGTTTTCTTTCTTTCTTTCTTTCTTTCTTTCTTTCTTTCTTTCTTTCTTTCTTTCTTTCTTTCTTTCTTTCTTTCTTTCTTTCAAGGAGGGGTAAGAAAATGCAGTTATTATTTTATGATTATTTATTCATTTCATTTAGTACAGATTTCCATGAGTGCGTATATATATATTATATTTATAATTTAGCAGCCGTACACGGAGATTTCATAATAATTACTCTGGTTGGAATAGCTTTTCTTTGATTCTATATCATACAGAAATATAACTATTTTGCACTAAGTGTAGAAACACACCTGCCCTAAACCTAGATATCACATTAGAGAACAGTAAATTTGACTAAATACGTATATAGCATAAATACTACAACAACAATCAACACCAATCAATACCCACATTTGTACTTTATATTAGTTTCGTCGCTCGTCACGTAACAACATGATTTTTGTCGAAAGAACACATTCCTCTGAAGTGAATACAAGAAAAAGCCGCCAAACAAAGGCAATCGACGACGCCAAAGCGATCTCCGAAGACCGCCAAAATCACCCACTCAGTGCACAATGCAATTTATGTAATTTTGGTCAAAATTTGGACACGTCGATTTGATGACAGACCAGACCATCCTTCGCGAGTCTTTCGTGTCCACTAGGCGATTGGCGGTTCGAGTACTCTCTTCTCTGTCAAACCTTTCGTTACGTCACTACTAATGGGGCATGTGTCCAAACAGAGAGATGTGGAAAAAAGCGATACAAAAGCTTCACTCGCACTACAGTAACTCTTTTCTACTTCTGCCTCCTGGACAAATAACTCATTAATTGGTAGATAATGTAAGTTATTTTGTGCGCTCGAAGAATAATTACAGATTACATAGGGTGAGAACGCGCGCATACAGTACAGGTGTGAGAGGAAGTAAAAGTGGGAATCGAGAAGGAGGGAACGATTGTGATCAGGAACTACGAAGGAACACCATTTTACAAATGTAATGCAGTCTTAAAGTCCCAAACAACAATCACCAGTGGTAACTCCTTTACCTCGTCAAAAACAACTACGCGGCGCCCAACATATACAAGAAACAATTAAAAACAAAATAAATAAATTAAAAGAAACTCTTTTAACAGGAACATACAACATAACAAAAATAACATAATAATAATAGTGCAACTTATAACATAATTTTGAGGCTCACACTAAGATCTTTGGGCGAACTAAGTCAAACTTAATATTGGAAAGTAGGCTGGAATGGACCCGCAGACACTTCAGCTCGTACGTACTACATGATTAAAACACTCGCGCACAGTCAAATTATTCAAAACAAAGAGACCACGCCGCATAGGGCACAACAAGTCAACACACGAGAAAAAAAAACAACTGCAGCCTACTGAAAGCAGTCAATGATCCCAACACACGACTAATTAAATCGTTATTTTCTATACAATATGTGCAACAATTAAAAACAAGTAATAACTTGACGCTTCCTCTATACAGGGGATAACAACAGACACGCGTGTCACGGAGACGCGGCAAAACGCGCTTGGCGCGATGACGCGGTTAGTTTCAGTGCCCCACCTGGGCCTCCACGGCGTACGCCCCCATGGCCCCCGCGCGGACGCTCAGCAGCCCTGCCACCTTCTCGATGCTGCGCGGCCGGATGGCCGTCTTGACGACCAGGTTGTTGTTGGTGGGCGCCTGCATGCTGCCGGCCGAGCTGGGCGGGCTCATGGACACGCCCGCGAAGCAGGCGGAGGGCTTCTTGGGGCTGGGGGCCGGCGCGCTGGTCGCCCTGGAGTACGTGTAGGCGGCCTTGGCGGCGCGGTTCTGCTGGAACTGCTGGTAGCGCTCCTTGAGCTGCTGCTCCGTGAGCTGGCCCTGCTGCTTGCTGTCCAGCTTGTCGTGCTGCAGGCCGTGCTGCAGGCCGTGCAGGCTGTGCTGGCGGTGCAGCAGCGCCGACGGGTTGGGGATGTGCCTGACGGACTGGTTGGGCCCGGGCCGGCTCACCGGCGACGCGGGCATCGTGAAGCCGCTCACGCGCCGGCTCGCGTAGATGTCCGTCAGCGTGGGCAGCAGCCGCCGCTGCGGCTGCGCGTTGGCGGCGCTGATGGCCGGGAACGGGGAGATCATGGGCTGCTTCGGGGGCACCTGGTTCAGGAGGGGCACCTGGCTGGTGCCCAGGAAGCCGTTCATGCGGTGCATGGTCGCGAGGGTGGCCTCGTTGAACAGGGTCTGGATGGTCAGCAGCTGGGGGTTGGTCATGAGGCCGAGGTCGGGGGGCGTGGCCACGCTGGGCACGCCGGGCACGATGCCCAGGTCGCTGCGCACGGAGATCTCCCTCGGCGGCGACGCCGGCTTGGCCTTGGGCACGGGCGACGGCGTGGTACTGGACACCTGCGGCTTGGGCGACAGCTCGCGCTTGGTCTTGTCGGACAGGTCCAGGACGCACTGCTGCTCGGGGTTCGGCCGCGTGTCCGCCTTCGGGGCCTTGAGGGGCTTGGCCTCGGTGCGCGGCTTCTTGGCGGGGGGCTCGGAGCTAGCGACGCCGTCCTCGCTGGCGCTGTCCGTCGGCGGCGGCGACGGCGGCAGCATGAGGATCTCCAGGGCGGGCTTGTTGGAGGGCTCTGGCGTGCGCGGCGGCGCCTCACCGGCCTCCACCTTGCTGATGGTCAGCGAGGACGGCGTCTTCACGGACTTGAGGTCCGGTACCGACGACGACGCCGGCGGCGACGGCGCGGGCGGCTTGATGCGGACTTGGCGCATCTGCGTGAGGCGCTCCTTGGCCTCCTCCGGCACGGTCTTGTCGCTGTCCTCGCTCTTGGGCGCGGCCGCGGGGTACGTGGCGGCGGCCTTGGGCGACGCCGTGCTCGGCTGGTTGCCGCCCCCCTTCGGCGCCTCCGGCACCTTCGGCGACGACGGCCGCGGCGACTTGGACGCGTCGCCGTTGCTCACGGCGAACTTCTTCTCCGCAGAATCGATCGTCGGCGAAGACACTTTCGGCGACGTGATTTTCACAGTGTATATCTTCTCCGTGTCGACGAAAGTGACCTTCTTCTCCTTGTTCGGCGACTCCGGCAGAGGGCTCTTCCGCTGCGCGCCGGCCGCGCTGGGGCTGATGCTGGGCGTGGGCCGCAGCTTGAGGGTCAGCTTCATGGGGGCCTCCTCGGGGCTGGAGATGAGCATGACGGGGGAGTGGTGGCGCTTCCTCTTGTGGTGATGGTGGTGGTGGTGGTGCTTGGACTTCTTGCTCTTCTTCCGGAACACCTTCTCGTGCACTATCTCCGGCTCGTCTTCCTCCACGGTGGGGCTCTTGCTGCTCACCGAGTGCGTGGGCGAGTCCTTCTCGACCACCTCCACCGTGTAGGTCACGTCACCCTCCTCGGGGTCCTCCACGACGACGAGCTCGTGGCCGTCCTCCTCGGCGGCGATCACTTCCTCCACGACGCCGTCGTCCTCCTCGTCCTCCGCGATCACCAGGCAGGACGTGTTCTCGGCCTCGTTGTCCTGCTCGTCGTCGGCGTCCACCTCGACCTCCTCGATGGCGTCCTCAATGTGCTGGTCGATGTCCTCGTTGTCCGTCACCACCTCCATCTCGATCTGCTGCTCCAGCTCGTGCTCGTCGGCGTCCACGTCGCCGTCCACGTCGTCCACCACGGAGCCGTTGTTCTCGACGCCCTCCGTCGAGTCCGCGACGCCGTTGGCCTGCCGCCGGTCGCTGCCGGCGCTCTCGTGGTCCGAGTTGTCATACACGAAGTCGAACTCCTGCGTCGTGTTGCTGTCGTCATTGTCCTCGTTGTCCTCGTTCTGCGAGTTGAACTCGTAGACGTCCTCGCTGTTCTCGTTGCGCTTGCGGCCCCTCTTGCCGCTCTTAGGCTTGCGGCCCGGCTGGCTCGTTTGGCGCGCCACGCTGTACGTCGCGTTGCCCATCGCGTTGGCCAGCGTGTTCCGCTTGGTCTCCGGGTCGGACAGCTCGTCGTCGGAGAAGGCGGTGGCGTAGACGCGGCGCCCCGCCTTGGCGCTGTAGCGCGCCTCGAAGTCGTCCAGGCTGGAGCGCGGCGTGCTGCGCGTCCGCCGGTACACCGTGTAGGGCTCGGGCGACTCGGCCTCCCAGCGTGGCGACTTGCCCGGCGTCCGCCGCCCCCGCTTGGCGCGCACCTCCTCCTCGTGGTCCGACTCGTCCATGGCCTCGATGGCGGAGTAGGCCGCCGTCTTGGCGCTGCGCTGCCGCTGCTGCCGCCGGTAGGACGACGTCGACGTCGTGGTGCTGCCCTCGTCCGAGGAGCCCGTGTGCGAGGACACCGAGCCCCGCGGCGCGTGGCGCGGCACGGCCGCCATGGCCTCCGTCGGCGGCACCACGGTGATGGGCTGCACGGGGGTCATGGGCTTGACGGCCACCACGGGGGCGACGGGCACTACGGGCACTACGGGCACGGGGGCCACGGCCGCCACTGGGGCCGCCGTCGGCGCCGGGGCGGCCTTGACGCTCACGTGCTGCGCGGCCTTGGACACGGCGCCGACGCACACGCGGTAAGTGAAGCGCATGGGCGATTTCTGGAAAGGAGAGGGCGGAGTCAGTGACGGCGGTCGCTGGACAGGTTCGGCCAAAAGTATAAGAGGGCCCGAGGTGGGCGACTTACCGGCTCGTAGAAGAACTGGTAGGCGACGTCCATCAGGGACATGTTGTCCGGAAGCGGCTCGCCCTCGTAGCAAATGGTGATCTGCGGAGCGAAAACGGTGGCGGTTAGAGACGGGTCGCAGAGGCCGCGGATTGGAGCTGACTGGACAATCGCGATATTCACCTTGTACATGTTGCTGAGGTCGTACTTGAGGCGGATGAACTTCTTGAGGTGGTACATGGTGAGGGCGGCGGGGCACTGTAGGTAACGCTTGTGCGTGTTCACGCCGTTGAGCCCTCCAGGAGACTCGCTGCACGTGAAAATGGGGACAAGATTAGACCGCGAATTTTTTTGCATAGTACATGGAAGCACGCAGGCGGACTTCATGGTGGCAATCGTACCTTTCGAACTCCACGGACAGACTGATCTTGTCCTCTGGGGAGTAAACGTGGATCTTGTCCACTATCCTATCCCGGATTGTCTCTTCCGGGAGGTCCCCGGGCAGCAGCAGTCTGGGCCCGTAATAGTTGGGCTGGATTTTCTTGATGAAATTCCATTGTCTCGCCACTTCATTTTGATGCAGGCGAGGCACAATTTTGTACACCAGCAGTTGCTTTCTTGGGTCGGGCCTGGGGGAGAAGAACAAAGGCATAAAGTTTCCCCGCTCGGTCAGAGGTTCGCGCATTTTAATCCCATGACTTTCCCCCGCTTACCTGAGTTTGTTGAGAGGGCAGCCCCGCTCCACCTGGACGTCGCACTCCGGGCAAAACAAACTCTTCTTGAAGTGCTTCACGATGCAAGACCGGCAAACTGCAAGCAAAGAAGAGAGAGGATGAGCAAAAACCTCCCCCGCCGAAAAAAAAAACTAGAGCGGCAAAACGAGGCGTCGGCGGACGTACAGGTGTGCAGGCACTCGGTGACCGTGGTGGCGTCGATGAAGTAGCCGCCGCAGATCTTGCAGGTGATGAGCGGGTTGAGGGCCTGCAGCTCCTTGCTGGCGTCCTTGGCGTCCTTGGCCGCCATGGTGGCGATCTGCAACAAAAAGCCAACGCACGCCGTCAATAAACAGGTGGACGTCGTAAAAACAAAGCGACTCGCTGACCCCCGCGCGGCAGCCAGGCGGCCGGCCCCGCCTAATGGAACAGACCGAACAGACCCCGGCCGCACCCCGCCCCGCCCCGCCCCGCCCCGCCCCGCCCCACCCCTCCGGCGCGACGCGTCAATAGCGAGCAGCGCTCCCTCCCCGTTCTTTTCTTCCCTTGACGGCGGCACGGTCGCATTCGATATGGCGGGCCCGCCCCGCCCGCCCCGCCCCGCCCCGCCCCGCCGGCCCGCAGTGATGCTGGGGAAGGAAGCCATTGTCACAAGATGGCGACACGCGGCGGCACTTGAAGGAGTGCCCGTCGTCGGTGACGGTGGTACACGTCGAGGACGCCGTCGAGGACGCCGTCGTCGCCTCGTGCCGCCAACGCGAGCGCGGTGACGCGAACACACCCCGGACGGGAAGCACCCCCAGCTCGTCTCGGCGCACAGTCGCCGGCGGCGGAAACTCTCGAGTCACTAATCAGGACTCGAACCGGGCGTGTGACCCCACCAACGGATTCCTCGCTCGGAGAGCAATCCATTGGTGGGGTCACCCGCTCGGTTCGAGTCCCATTTAGCGACTCTGGAGCTCAAATCGCGTCCGAGGTTTGGACCGCCTTCACCGGTCTTCTGGCCCGCTGTGCGGCGCGCCGCGCTGCGTCCAGTTTGGGGACTCTCAGGCGCAGAGTCGTCCGCAGGCTTCCCGCTCCGCTTCATGAAGTGCTCGAGCAACGTGTGTGCCGTCGCGGCGGTCGCGGCGCGCGCTCAGTTCGCTGCTTCCCTCTTGACGGCGGCCAACTTGAGGCCGCAGCCAGCCGGCCGGCGGGCGGCCCACTGGCGGATCAGCCGCGCGGAAGCAAGGCCGGCACTGCCGGCAGGGCCCTCCAACTTCGGCAACTTTCAGACCGGGCCAAGAGCGGCGAGCACAACTTTGGACAGATAGACAAACAGACGGACGGGCGGCTCGCTCATTCGATCTCGCCGCCGGAATCGGAACCCCGGGAACCGGTCCGCACATTTTGGCACACCGAGTCCGGACTCGCGGACGACTCGCGGCGTTTCGACGCCAAAAGAAAAGAGAGAGCAGTGTACTGCCGCCGGGCTCGCGCCGGGCCCGCCAGGTAGATGTCGTCTGACGTGCTCGGTCTAATGATATTCCCGCAGGGCGATGCTATCTCACAGGAAGCGAGGAGGGTCCCGGGAAAGGGGGAGAGGGGGGGGGGCTACTCCACGAGGAGGGTGCCCCACCTCGCACTTCGCACCTCACACGCCGGGCTCCTCCAACAAGGGTGCCGACGTGGAGGGCCTTCTAGTACACCGCGCGCCCAGGGTTTAAGGTTTAAGGTTGGACGTTCAACAAACGGCTCTGGGTGTAGGCGCCTTTACTTGTTGTCGTCTTTCCGGTGTGGCGGTCGGCATTTTTCGGAATGCGCTCGGGCGGGCGGATCGCAGAGATTTGGTTTCAGCGGCCGACAAGCAGGCCTTTGCCAAATTGTGGGCGTTCCCTTTCAATGCGCACGACGCCCACACACGCTCGCACACACACACACACACAGGCTTTCACACGCACACGCAGGCGGCGAATCCGGGCCAACACGTGGCGATTCGCAACGGGCCGGAAGCGCTTCGCGGCGCGGTGGCACATGTGGCTTCCGCAAAAACAATGGGCCGGGCCGGGCGGATTCCGAGAGTCGCTTTTCGTCGCTCCGTCTCTGCCGCACTCATGGGGCGTCCCGTGTGGGTGGGAGCGAGACGGAGCGACGACAACGACGACTCTCGGAAACCAGTCTGCAGGCAGCGGCGGACAACGAGACTCTTTCCGCGAAAGTACGGCAGTCAGGCGGTCCGGCACAGCGGGAAGTTTAAAGGGACGCCCGGCCAGGGGCCCAGGGGGGCAGGGCAGGGGTCACTCACTGCTGGCTCGCACTCTTTTGTGACGAACAACAACGCCATGGCCGTCCCTCCCCGTGCCGACGGAGCGACGCACAAAAGTCGCATTGTCCGCCGGGATGACCTCGGCGAGAAAGTGATACAGATTCGGTGAAAGAGTGGACGTCATTAGAGGGCACGGTCATTAAACGACGAGAGAGAGAGAGAGAGAGAGAGAGAGAGAGAGAGAGAGAGAGAGAGAGAGAGAGAGAGAGAGAGAGAGAGAGAGAGAGACGCGCAGGCCGGCGGTAGATTAGTCTGATTAGCGAAGGGATGCTGCGAGGGGTGGGCGGAGGGGAGGCTCTTGTTGGCACAGAGGGCAGCAGGGGTGCCGGAGGACACGGAGGGGTTGGCGCGACAGGCATATGCCCAGGGGAGCGGGGGAGGAGGGTGAGGTGGCGCACAGGGGTCGGGTGAGGGGGACTGGAGAGGTTGTGGGGAAAGGGTTTTGCGGTGAGGGGTGGGAGATGGGAAAGGTACCGTAGTGGAAAAGGGTAGGCGTCGAAGAGGGTAGGAAGTGGGTAAGGTCGTTGGGTAGAAACTGGGTGAGTCGTCGGTGGTGAGCGGAGAGGCGGGCGCTGCACTCCAACCGAGAGAGGAAGGGGACGCTGCGACTCGACTTGACGACACGGACACGGCGGCGCGGCTCCCCATTAAAGAATCATCCCCGATGAAAATCGGGGATGAATGTACAAGCGGGCAAGCGGGCGAGTAAGGCTTGGCTGCCGCTTCGTATGCATGTTGGTGGTTTGCTGGTACTGAATAAAACATGCCCGCCTTGCGCTTGCGCCGCCCCTCGGCCCGCCGCATCCCTCTCGCAACCTGCACTCTTTGGCCGTGTCGCCACCACTGTCATCGCCTGTATTTTTGATGCGCGTCACAACTACCTGTCGCTCGCCCCTCCACAGGCCCTTCGCCCTCCGCGCCGTTTCCTTGTTTTTGTTGTTGTTTGATTTTCCACCCCGCGCCTTGGATGTCATTCAGCAAACCGCCCTGTTCCAATAACAGCCAACAACGCCGTGGCCGTGATTATTTCATCCGGACAGGTCGCACCGGGACAGAGAGAGACAGAGATGGGACAGGGGCGCGGACAGAGAGAGAGAGCGCGTGGCATTCATTAATAACCCCTGAGTGGAATTATTGACAAGGACATTTTTTTCGGCGGCACGGCGCGGCGCGGCGGAGTTGGGGTGCGCGCCACTGCCTCGTCCCGTCTCTCTCTCTCTCGGCCGCGCCCGGCTCGCCACGTCCCGGCGGCGTCACGCTGCGGAGGGAGGGAGAGAGAGGGAGGAAGGGAGTGTTAAGGGCAGATTAATGCCCTGGCCGGGAATCGCCCGTTTATTTCGGTCCTTTAACTTTTATCGCTTGCAGTGCGCGCTGCGCGCCCCACGCCCCGACAGTGTAGGTGCCGTACTGCCGCACGCAGCAGGGCCGTCCCGAGGAGCAAGCGTGGCAGTGCAGCGATGTAGGGCAAGCCCGGGCAAGCCAAGGCCGCCGACACACGTTTGGGGACAAAGTAATTCGCGCCGAGAGTGCGCGCTCTCTCTCTCTCTCTCTCTCTCCCTCGCGGGCCCAAGTCGGCACAACACTACAAAACGGCGGGCCTGTTATTTCGGTCGCCTACACCGTAGGTACGGCGGGGCGTACAGCTCGTCCATCAGGCGGACGTCGCCATCGGGCGATAAATTCACGGGCGACTTCTTTATGAGACGCGGTTAGCGACGTCTCCGATGACGCCCCGCCCCGCCGCGGAGGGTGCGCGCGTATTATGTATCTGTGGTTTCGGGCACCCCGCCGGGCCGCCCTCCGCGAGCCACCCCCGCGCGCCACCCTTTCCACTCCCCTCCGGAGCGTGCCGCCTATTACAGGCAAGCTATCCCTCGGGAAGCTATCCGGGCAGGGCCGCCTGGAGGCCCGGAGGCCCGGAGCCCTCCGAGCCCTCCGGGACGTCGCCACCCTGTCCCGGGCCGTCGCGGGCCGTCGTCGGGGCCTCCATGACTCTGTCGTCGCGGTGCTGGCGCCGCGCGCGGCGCGGGTGACACGGCCGCGCCACCGGAATTCATTTTTAGCCCCCGCTTCTCCAAACAGGCGGTCAGGAATAACTTTTAGAGCCCCCGGCAGTGCGGCAGCGCGGCAGCAAAGAGACTCACAACAGTTTGTAGCGCTGCACCGCGCCAACACGGCCGGGGTGCCGCTACGCCACGCGCTGACTTTGTGCGGGGGAAACTCTGAAACGCCGAGATAAGGGAGGCAAACTTCCGGGATCGAACATTATCATTTTGCGGGCCGTCACCACCACCACCACCGGGGTGCGGTGCGCCAGGGCCGGGGCCAGGACCGCGCCGCGCCGCGTTCAAACGCGCTGACAGACGCGGCCCGTCAGCGGGACGACGACGGCGACGACGTCGACGGAGTCCGCGTCGCTCGATTGCTCGGCAAATGTTTCGGCAGTCCAAACAGCGACCGGGCGGCGGGCCGGCCGGAGGGCGAGGAAGACAAATGGAGGCGGCCAACCCTTCGCAACCCTTGCCTCCGCCGAACCAAACGGCCGAGACTGCAAACATTATTGGGGCGGAGGCCGGCGGGCCGGCGGCGGGCCGCCATGGCCGAGCGGCGCCGAGCGGCCAACACCAGCACGGCCTCGACGGCCTCGGCATTGCTCGGCATGCGCGCCGCGTGCAGTCTCTCTTCCGTGTCGAATCGCGGCGAGGAAGACGTGCCGTCGGCCTCCTCGGCCCTTCGGCCCCACAGTGGGCCCCGCCGACCCAGCGCTACAAGTTCGAGATCTCGAACCGAGGATGAGGATGGCTCTCGCCCGGCCGCGAGCAACAACTGAGAAGAAGAGCCCGCGCTTGGTCCGAGTCGGACACCATGATGACCCAAATGGTAGTACACATGTTTGACCAAAGACCGCGGTTATTCAAGTTGATCATGGTTGACCAAGCGAATATTTCGAGGCGCGGTCAACCCTTGGCTATCCAAATAACCGGCCCGCGGCTGCAGGGCAGTGCAGGGCAC